AACAAACAAATTTGCATAGGAGTTCGGTTAACGCGTTACATTAACTAATTAAAACACGTTGCGTAATACAACGAAACGAAAAGTATTCCATTTTCTCTCTGGAAATTAAAGAAATAGAAGTACATGAATGAAATGAACAAGAATTATTTATTAATTGAAGTAATGGAAATGCAACAAGTTTTTTTTTTCTTTTCTTCTTTGGTATCGAGTTCCGCACAGCGGAAAACACTCAGCAAATACGAAATAATTGCGTGTAGGAAATGTATTGATAATATTTACTGTGTTATTCCAGTCCCAAGTTTTTTTTCTAGTGTTGTTTCAAGTTAAAGAGTGTACAGTTTTATGTTTGCATTTAATCAAGAGATTTTCTTCTATAAATATATAAAAATAACTTATGTTTTTATTGTAAATGCTTAAATCTTGAAACTGATTAATTTTTACACTTTTTTTTGTATTAATTCTTGTAGAAGTTTACATTTTTTTTTAATATTAATCAATTTTAGAAGTTTAATATTTATCTTACAAGTATGTAAAAATTACACGTTTTTACTATATAGTTTCAGATTAAAAACTAACAAATTTATCAATTTTTTAATTGCAAATTTTTAACTTTCAGATTTATCAATTTTTAAAGTTTATTTATTTTCCTGTTATTCAAACAATACAGGAAATAGTATAAATATGCAAAAATAACTTTGATTTCAAGTTTAAACTTAACAATATTATTATATAAAAGTTAATGAATAACTTCTTTTTGCGTTGCAAAGATTCAATTTAAAATTTAACAAATGTTGTCTTGAAACTGAATATTTTTTACATTTTTGTATGTATTTAATAGATTTACTTGTATAAATATTTAAAAATAAGTTCTGTTTTTATAATAAAAGCTTAAATTTTCTCTTGAAACTAATTAATTTTTACACTTTTTTTTGTATTAATTCTTGTAGAAGTTTACATTTTTTTTTTGTTAACATTAATCAATTTTAGAAGTTTAATATTTATCTTACAAGTATGTAAAAATTACACGTTTTCACTATATAATTTCAAATTAAAAACTAACAAATTTTGATATAAATTTATCAATTTTTTAATTGCAAATTTTTAACTTTCAGATTTATCAATTTTTAAAGTTTATTTATTTTCCTGTTATTCCAACATATTTCCTGTATAAATATGCAAAAATAACTTTGATTTCAAGTTTAAACTTAACAATATTATTATATAAAAGTTAATGAATAACTTCTTTTTGCGTTGTAAAGATTCAATTTAAAACTTAACAAATGTTGTCTTGAAACTGAATATTTTTTCATATTTATAGTGTAAATAAAGGATGAAACGTTCTCATCTTAAACACAAAAAAAAATCAATTTAAATATAGATGACCGTAATTCGATTCTGGTATCAACGTCGAAAGTTCTATTCTTCAGGATATAATCTGCATACATTTTCCCTATGCGGATACGGAAACATCCCTAAAACGTATTTTTCATATCTTTCCATGCAGATGGGAGGGAAGTAACGTAAGAATGAAGATGGAAAAGGCAAGACGCGACGATGGGAACTTAAATTTTTTACATTGTAGGCAAATGAACCCTCCGAGAGAATATATATATACATACATGCATGTACTTTCTTTTGGAGACTTTACGATGGTAAAACTCGCCCTCAGACAGACAAACAATATTCAATTCAATTTGTCCGGCATCTAAATTTTTTTCTTTTACTTATTTCTTCGTTGTTTTTTTATTATCGAAGTAAGGACGTGTTAGGTTCGTTGATTTGTGGCTGCTATAATTTACGTTGAAAGGAAGAAAAAAATGTAGGATGAAAAAGGGAGAGAAAAGCAGATGAGAGATGTAAAAAGCGCAAATTGCAAACTTCTGGGGTAATTGCAAAAACCGGACTCAAAGCGACTCAAAGGGAATATTTTGTAATGAGTAATTTTTAGTTCGTAAAAAATTACAAATTTGTACAACATTTCTCCATTTTTACGTGTTTTATGCAAATAAATTATTAATCAATTTACCTAGAAATTGCATCAACAAATTCTGATTTAAGATTTATCATTTTTTTTGTAATAAAAAGAATCTTGAAAAACGTCAATATTTAAAGTTTATTATTTCAAAACTTAACAAACTTAATCTTAACAAAATAACGAAATAATCAGTTTCTTTTGTTTGTTTAAAGTATAAATAAGAGATGAAATGTTCTCAATTTTTAATATTTTTGAATAACGAGAAAATTGACAAAATTTAATTCGAATTATTGTATAAAATTTAACGAATTAATCTTTGTAAAATTTTATGATCAATATTCTGAAATTTTACTGTCTCAATTTTAGAATATTTGAACTGACTTTTCTCTTACTTATGTTTTTGTGATATTGAATAAAATTTTGGTCCTCAAAAGTGTTGAAATCTTCCTGTAATCCTTAGATGATTGTTTGCGTAATAACCGCCGAAATGCTGAGGAAGTTTGCGGATTAATTTGCAGACACGGTAATTGTTTCCTAATGAAATTTGAATAAGGAAAGTTCGCAAATTCCCTTTCGCCGAAAACCGAAATAACGGTTAATCATTTAATGTGTTTCTGCGTGCGGGAGTGGCGGTTGCAGCAGTAAAAAAAAACGACGACAGGAAGAAGCTACACCTACTCTACCTTTATACATATATACAATTCTCTCTACACCTAACCACTCCGAGTAATTCACTTAATTTACCTGAAAGCTTTTAACTCTTATTAGCCGTTAGATCTAGGCGCGGCTCATAATCTCTTCATAATGCCTCTCGACATTCCCCTCCTGCTTTTTTTTGTTTGTTTTTCTTTTAATTAAACTTCCTTCGTTTTCTTTTTTTAATTAAATTTTTCTCCGCGTCGAGGGAGGTCGACTGTTATTCAGCAATACATTTTATTGCGGTAATACCGACATTAATCTACGCCGGAGGCCAATAGACACGTCTCGCGTTGCAATATACTTCACCTTTCCGCAACTACTGCTGTCTTCTGCGATGAAAGTCCTTGCAAACATCCATTTGCTCCTTCATATATATGTTTCTTTTATCGATCTTTACGTTTTATGTGAAAGAAACTTCACTATGTTCGAGTGCATCAATGATAATAACTGTCTCCAGAACTCTTGAAATTAAGCAATATCGATCAATGTCACAGCTTATTTTACGTGAAGCACGAATATTGCAAATATGTACTTTAGCATATTTTGTAGTCAATGATATGATAGTCACAGCTACGAGACTTAATGTAAAGAGACTGCTTTTTTCGAAGCTTTAAAACATAATACAACGAAAGTTACAAATGTTAAATTTATCACGATTTATATATCAAGCTTTAATTTGGTTATTCAATGACCTTTTTGATCATAAAGTTATGGGACTTAATGTAAAAATACTACTTTTTCAAAGCATTACAAAAAAGTTTTAAAATTTTCAAAATCTTGACAATCATCAATATTTAAAGTTCGTTTATTTAACTATTATTTCAACTTTGAACTTAACAAATTCAATCTTAACAAAATAATCAGTTTTTGTTGTCTGTTTAAAGTGTAAATCAGGTATGAAATGTTCTCAAAATTTAATATTTTTGAATAACAAGAAAATTAACACAATTTAATTCCAATTATTCTCTAAAATTTAACGAATTATACAAAGATAAATTAAGATTAATATTTGTAAAATTTGATCAATATTCTCCAAAATCTAAAATGAAAATGCTTGTTTTTTGTGATATTGAATAAAATTTTGGTCCTCAAAAGTGTTGGAATCTTCTTGTAATCCTGTAAATTGTTTCCTAATAAAATTTGAATAAGGAAAGTATTATTTCAACTTTAAACTTAACAAATTCAATCTTAACAAAATAATCAGTTTTTGTTGTCTGTTTAAAGTGTAAATCAGGTATGAAATGTTCGCAAAATTTAATATTTTTCAATAACTAGAAAATTAACAAAATTTAATTCCAATTATTCTATAGAATTGATAAACACCTTTTATATCTTATACATCTTACTTTAATTTGATTGCCAATTAAATTATAAGACTAATAGTCAAGACATGATATTTCCTTTATTTATAGCCAAAAAATGTAACTAATATTAAATAAGTTCGATTTTGATTAAAATTGATATGAAATGCGAAACACATCAAACGGGATCAAAGAACACTCCTCGCCTTTGCATAATATTTCATTTTCCCTGTAATACGAGATGGGAGTCCCCGCGCGGAATGCCTTCAGGCGAGACCCGAATACTGAAGAACGAGAATCCTTCGCGCCAGGAATCATAATTCTTTCGTTACATTCGAACGGCATTAAGACGCACACAGAAAAAAGAAAGGACAGAAACGAGAATGGGGAAGTTCATAATTTTCCAATTATTCAGAAGAAAAAACGTGTAAATCTAAATTAAAATCTAATTTGCGGTTGCAGTTAAACCGTGAGCTGCAAAGTATATTAATAGTGCGGAGGGATGGAAAGAGCGGGCGCAGACTGCTAACAAAAAAAAAATGCCAGGTTTTCCCCGAGCTTCACTCTTTGGTGTAATAACAATAAAAGCAGGGACGAAGAATCGATATTTCCAATATTGAAACGAGGCGAGAATATATGAAGCGCGAAACAGAATATAAATAAAAAGAAGGAAAGCAATCGCAGCCAATTTAATACGATTTCGACGTTCTGCGGTTTTGGGTGGAAATTATTATTATTATTATTATTAATACAGCAAGATGAAAATAAATGATTATTGTGTAAATATCTTGAAGCAGATTTATTTGTTTCTATATAAACCGGAAGTTTTCCGCAAAGCAAACATGAATCCAATAATCTTCTCATAAGTTGCAAACTGTTTATGCTCATACTTAACCCGCAACGAAAACTTAATTTAATAGACGTTTAATTCGAAAACTTTCCGAGCGAGTCGCGTTTGATCGATGGAACGTTGTTGCCATAACGATTATATAAATAAAGCAAAGTTTCGATCAGTGTGATCCGGAATGCCGACGGAAGACGATCTGACGCAAGAGTCGACGCACGGTGAAGAGGATGCCGAGAAACCGGAGAAGAAGAAACGCAAGAAGAGGCGGAAGCATCGATCCAGGCATCACAGAAGATTGACCAAAGAGAGCGTACCCAACTTCGAGATTCCAGGTGTAGTTCACGTGGTGCTGGATGAAAGCGTGCAAAGAGTTCTGAAAGCCGTTGTTGGTGAGGATATTACAGCAGAGAAACCTTGGAAGAAGGTGCAGAAGGAGCTCGTGCAAGAGCAAATCGAGGGCGAGGATGTTCCGGAAGAGTTTCAGTGTTTTATACCTTACAAACAGGAGATTATTGAATATTCCTCCAGCAAAATGCTGCTGGGTTACATTCCGGACGAGTCCAGGGAGTACGACGAGTTTTTATTCTGCTTGAACCCCGAAGCCGAAGAAGCTGTGAACGCTATCATTAAGAAGATCGAGGAGCGACAGCAGACGCGTTTGAACAACAGCATCAACAAGACTATACATCCGTGGAAGACTTTGGGAAGTGGGCCTGAAGTTGAGGAGAATATAGTCAAATATTCTAGAGGCTTGTATCGCGTCGAATTTGAAACGAAATACCCGATAATGGAAGGAAACGTTCAGTTTAGACCGAGAATGGTGCATCAGGTGCGCGACGGTTACGTCGAGTTACTTCTTCCTAATCGCGTTACCATAACCAACGTCTTCAAGAGGAGGATCGATGCTGAGACTCAGGTGGCTCCAACAGTCCGCACAGACGAAGCCCAAACCAACTGTCCGTACCCGAGGAACGCTTGGACTCAATACGAGTACGATTGCGTTTACGTGAAGACGCTTTCCAAAGATTTCGTCGCGAGATTCGGCGATTTCGTGCAGCGCGAAATGGACGCAATCGCCAACGATTTACTCATCAACGGAAACATCAATCTGTACACCGACGATTACCGAGATTTGATAGTCGATGAAAGATACTCGAAAAAAGATGAGAGGACTATAGGGATGCAGGACGAGTACATGTCTTTTAAGGAGAATAAAAAGTGCAAGGATAAGATGATTTCTGCCGTGGCCTGGCATCCTTTGTGGACCGGAATTGTGGCTATTGCGTACACATCGAAATCGCCTTTATGGTTTCACAGAGGAAAGAATCCGGAGAATTATTTGTACGAAATCGCGCACGGTTATAATCCGGTCTTGATCTGGTCCTTCAACGACGGGCTAAAACCTAAACTGTACTTGGAAGCTTATCGAGCTGTTCATTGCTTAAGCTTCTGTCCGCACGACGAGAATATCTTAATTGGCGGATGCGAGAACGGTCAAATCATTCTTTGGGATTTGAAGAACAAGATTTACAAAGTGGAAGAGATCGAGATTCTGACCACTTCCCAGCAGAATTACCGCGTGCAAATGTACTCGTTGATGAAGTGGATGAAGAACACGAGAAATGCGGCTATCGTCCCACCGACTGCCGTCTCCGAAATCTCTTTCTCTCACACCAACAACGTGACTTCTATATTTTGGGTGCATCCGACTTGCTTCTTCTCGAAAACCGGCCAATACGAAACAGTGAGCGCCGAAGATCCGTCTTTGCAGTTCGCCACTTCGGGCGCCGACGGCGCCATAAAGTTTTGGGATTTAAAGCAGAAACCGATATCCATGCCGGGCGAGTACAGACCTCAACGTAAACTGCGAAGACTGAAGAAACGTCCGAGCGCTTTAACATTGGACGTCTCGCCGTTCAGAATCCTTCACAGAAAACTGAAACCTCACTATCAATTGAATGTTATTTTACCGAAGGGAACGACCAGATGTCCGGTTGCCATCACCATTTTACCGTCGTTTCAAATACCTATAGAAGAGGTGAATCCGGATCCGGATCGCGTCTTCAATTTAGCGCAAAGGTTGTATTTCAAACCGCTGTTGACTGATGATGGGAAGATGATGAAGCAGGAGTTTTGCGTTGGAACGTATTTCGGGGATTTCGCGATCGGGAATTGGGAAGGATTCGAGTATATGTCTGGGGAGATTTGCGCGCAGGAGCAGGCGAAGATCTTCAACATAGCGAGGTATCATGACGGGCCTGTGTTGACGTTGGAGAGGTGCCCGTATCGTGAGGATATTTATTTGACTGTCGGCGGGAAGGTTTTCGCTGTTTGGAAGACCAGTTTGAAGTCGATGCCGATCCTTTGGCGGAGGTCCAGGTTTAGGTATCTGCATGGGCATTGGACTCCCGAAATACCTGGAGGGATCAGGATTAACAGGTCGGATGGGAACAGGGAAATCTGGAGCTTCGATTGTAGGAGTGATACGTTCTACATGGATTTGGCGTATTCGGGGAAGGCTCTGCTGCAAGGGAAACCCCATCCGTTTATTATGGAGGAAAACTTGATTGGTTTAGCTGATGATGTCGGCTCGTTTCGCTTGATTTATTTGGCTGTTCCGCCGAGCGAACATTACGACGAGCAATTAGAAGTGATTAACAATATTTTCGATTCTTCGGCGTCGCGGAAGGAGCAGTTTTTGAAGTGGCAGCAGACTTGGGTCGACACCAACGCTTCGTACATACAAAGAAACATGGCTGAAGCTATAGAGGAAGCGAAAAGGAAGAAGGAGGAATTGGAGATACTCAAGCAACGAGAGGAGGTTTTGGCTGAGATGAGAGCTGCAGAAGAAGCCAAATTGGCTGCGGCTAAACTGAGAGCGCCTCCTGGGAAATACGAGGAATGGGCTCACGAGCAGTGGATCGTGAAGGAGCAGGAACGGATGGGAAACGTTCTTCTATCGAAAAAACGTTTAGACACGGAGACTCTGATCAAGCAGCAGGCGCCTCTGAAGAAGATCGAGGAGCAGGAGGAGAGGAAGAAGCAGCGGCAGAAGGAGAGGCTGCACAAGGCCAACGATATTTTCAACGATACCATCGCGATGCTCTTCCCTGATCTGCTGAAGGATCGGGAGGTCGTCAAAGAGACGACGACTTTCACTACGGCCGATTACGAGAACGTGAAGAAGCAGTACTTTCAGGCGTACGACGAGGTTAAGGACGGGGTCGATACGTACGTGGAAGAAAATCCTTTCGTGTACAACTTCGACTGGAAAGTCATCAAAGCTACGAACAAGCAGAAGAAGAAAAACGCGGAGTTTATCAATAGCGTTTCGCATAGGTCCAGATACGACACGGAGAGGAAACCGAAGAAGGAATATTCGCATCCTCAGCATTCTTTGTTTAAAGGTTACTCTACCTTTGGTGAGGGTGACGAGGGTGGTCTGAATATGGGTGGTGTCTTCTCGCAATCAACTATGGCCAGTTTAACCAACATCAGTAATTTAGGAGTGAATTTTTAAATATTTATTTTTTTCTACCAATTCCAATAAAATCTAGTTCAATTACTATTATTATTGTTTTACTAATAAATAATTCTTTATTCAATTAAGTAGATTGTATAATAAAATAATATATCAAAGTTTTTACAATTATTCCATGGCTATTCGCCTTACATAACATTTATAAATATATATGTGGTATCTGTGGATTTATTTTATTTAATTATTGCATCGGGTGAGTAAAAAAAGTATAATTTGTTTGTGTGCGGGAAAGGATTGTAAAAGATGGTGTCTTTAAATAATTAAAAATCTTGCAATCTTCATTATTTTTCTATCAATTTCCATAAAATCTAGTTGAGTTTTTTTTTTAAATCCTAATTCGTTAACTTGAAATTCAACATAGTTTTTAAAATTTCATTGGGTAGAAATATGTATATTTAATAGAATCAAGGAAATAAAACTTTTTTTTTTTTTTTGGAACTGTTATAAAGTTTATGTGGAAACTTTGCATCTCCATCCGAAACAGAAATTACAGAAACTGAAACTCTGTCCGAACAATATACACATTTCCATAATAAAATCTAGTTCAATTACTAATGTAATTGTAAAAATAAATATGAAATTAAAATTTATCTTGCAATATTCATTATTTTTCTATCAATTTCCATAAAATCTAGTTGAGTTTTTTTTTTAAATCCTAATTCGTTAAGAAATTCAACATAGTTTTTAAAATTTTATTGGGTAGAAATATGTATATTTAATAGAATCAAGGAAATAAAACTTTCTTTTTTTGGAACAATTATAAGGTTTATGTGGAAACTTTGCATCTCCATCCGAAACAGAAATTACAGAAACTGAAACTCTGTCCGAACAATATACACATTTCCATAATAAAATCTAGTTCAATTACTAATGTAATTGTAAAAATAAATATGAAATTAAAATTTATCTTGCAATCTTCATTACTTTTCTATCAATTTCCATAAAATCTAGTTGAGTTTTTCTTTTTAAATCCTAATTCGTTAAGAAATTCAACATAGTTTTTAAAATTTCATTGGGTAGAAATATGTATATTTAATAGAATCAAGGAAATAAAACTTTCTTTTTTTTTTTGGAACAAATATAAAGTTTATGTGGAAACTTTGCATCTCCATCTGAAACAGAAATTACAGAAACTCTGTCCGAACAATATACACATTTCCATAATAAAATATAGTTCAATTACTAATGTAATTGTAAAAATAAATATGAAATTAAAATTTATCTTGCAATATTCATTATTTTTCTATAAATTTCCATAAAATTTAGTTGAGTTTTTTTTTTAAATCCTAATTCGTTAAGAAATTCAACATAGTTTTTAAAATTTCATTCTGTAGAAATATGTATATTTAATAGAATCAAGGAAATAAAACTTTCTCTTTTTTTTTGGAACAAATATAAAGTTTATGTGGAAACTTTGCATCTCTATCCGAAACAGAAATTACAGAAACTGAAACTCTGTCCGAACAATATACACATTTCCATAATAAAATCTAGTTCAATTACTAATGTAATTGTAAAAATAAATATGAAATTAAAATTTATCTTGCAATATTCATTATTTTTCTATCAATTTCCATAAAATCTAGTTGAGTTTTTTTTTAAATCCTAATTCGTTAAGAAATTCAACATAGTTTTTAAAATTTCATTGTGTAGAAATATGTATATTTAATAGAATCAAGGAAATAAAACTTTCTTTTTTTGGAACAATTATAAGGTTTATGTGGAAACTTTGCATCTCCATCCGAAACAGAAATTACAGAAACTGAAACTCTGTCCGAACAATATACACATTTCCATAAAGTGCAAAACTTTCCACCCAATAATTTCATAACCATTTCGAATTAAACTATTAAGTTTTAATTAAATGCAATAACATTTGATGATCTTAAATACGTTTTTATAAAATTATTACAACTTCAAAGAAAATGTTGTTAGATCTCATAATAATCATATTTAGCCGTTTTCTTTTTTTAGTAAACCATTTAAATAATGGCAATTCGCAGGGGAAACATAATCCAGAAGTTTATCCGCGCGAACTTTCGGCCCAGTGCGTCTATGCACTTAGTGCCCAAAAAACATTTCCGGTCGGCCCTAATTTTCATTCCACTTCGGGGAGAAATTAACTGTGCTTCCGTTCCATGAAGCAAAATGTCCTCATTTCTATTCTACAACGCTCTTAAAACTCCATTTAACAACTGGAATCAAGACATAATTCTATCACAAATAATTTTACAAAATAAACTACTTTCTACTTTCATGTTTTTTTTTATCCAGAATCTAGACTCTATTTATTTTCTAAATTCGATTTCCTCATGTTTACTTTATATCTGCTTACGTGCACTCAAGGATTTACGTTTCTCTCCTATAATCCGCTTTACATCAAATGCATTTTCTCTGCACGACTTCTTTGATACTCCTCCATTTCGATTCAAGCTTTTCATTCAATCACTTTTGTAGCTGCGTTTGTTTGCTCGTTTAAAATATCGCAATTTTCTCTATTTTTTTCAGGTAGTTTTGTCGCGTCTGAAGGAGTCCGTCGCTCCTGCTGAGATCGACCCAGGCGCCTCCGCCGAATACTATCCATTCGCCACGGTTCTTCGGCTACGGGTTTTGCAGGTACGCAACTTCTTGACTTCTTCTCTCCTCCGGAAAAGAAAAGAAAAACTTATCGAAGCAAACTTCTAAATCGCATTAGCGCTCAACTCCGAAGCACAAAGTGCATCCATGAATATTTAAATTGCCACGTCCATCCGAACTATCCAACAATTTACTCCGTCCCATTGTTAACACTTGCCCAACAAGAGAATCCTCGAAGTTCGCAAATAACACTCGCATGCATTTGCGTTCACGGATGCGGCCAGAAAACGTACTGTAATTATACACTATTCAACATTATTATATCATTCATAAATCCAAAAAATACAGCTAAAACTTTGAGTTATTGATTAAAGACAAACAATTTTAGAATTGTAGAGTATTCACTAATCTTAGAAACATGCATCAAATTGTTAATGAGACTGTCGAGGTTTCTGATTAATTAAACGCAATTAATGAAAACCAATTGATTTCACGCCTCGAACGAACGTGAAATATCTTTGAACTCTGCACGCAATTATCCAAGCGCATTTGCACGTACATAAAGTCTACTTGAACTGAATTATTTGAGAACAATTCAACAGTTTGTGAATGGAGGAAATTGTAACTGTAACTGGTAGCAATTAATGCGAACGCTAATTTGATGCGTTAATTTTGCAGATCGTGTTCGGGATAACGTTCCTGATAATGGGAACGGTGGCCTTCATCGAGGAACGTGGAGAGCTTAACCTGGGCCTGGGTATTCCCGCCGGTGCGTCCACGATAATAGCGGCCGGTAAGTAATCGACGTAACTCTTGAATGCAGCGGCGATTAAACCACGGATTAATCGCCGTGCAGATCGATAGTTTACTCTCGCATCCCCGCATCATTTTATCCGATCATTACGCTGCAGACTTTCCGTTATATTTAACGTCAAAGTTCAGATTTTCAATTGACTTCGTTATTAATCCGAGCGATATTAAAGACGACAAATTTTACCTCTAAATAATATATTCAAGTAATATTATACTTATATTTCCAACTGGGAAAGAAACATCTTTGGAATTGTGCACACACACTGCACACATTCTTAAGTAAATTTCTGCATTCTATGGAAAGTTTCGCGTGAATTTCAATTCATGTATTCTTCTTTTGATTTTGTTGCTGTTTCATATAGGAAATTCTACAAAATCGAAACACGAATTTCAATTTTTTGAAAAATTATGTTGGTGAAATAATAA